GTATATTGCACTATAAGTGATTTTTTTTTCCAGTTAGATATTGATATATGTTTTGTAAATAGCTGACCCATAGATATCATATTGATGTTTTTTGTCAATAAGAATTTACATTGAAATAAGATTGTTTTTCCATGAAATTATAAAACAAATATATAAGTTTGCGGTGAAGGTGTAATCCTGTGTTCTTCGTTTTCCCATGTAAAACATTTCAAACTTTTCTGCACTTCAATATTAAACCTTGTATTTAAATCTTAGTTTGACATTTTACTGTGATACAATACTGATATAATACCGATATATTTTCATTGTACAAACCATATTTGTGACTTTCATTTTGGGTTGGTGAACTTCTGCAATTTAAATTTAAAATGATTTCAGCAACAAAGTGCAATTGTTGAATGAGGACTATAATTATCATTCCATCAAAGCTACGTTATCAAAAAAGATAATAATCATTATACCATCTGAGGTGATGTAACTTTAATTTTGTCCTCCGGAGGGTCTACAATCAGCATCATTATGTTATTATCGTACTTCATAAAACATGGTATAAGCCCACGGTGGAAGGAAAACTACATGTATACCAATAAAATAGAATCGCTCATTTATTATTTTGTAAGAAAAGCATTAAATATTTTGAAATTAAGTATAAGAAATATTTTAATAAGTTAAACGCAATCCTAACGATAGCTCGTGAAATGTATGAATAAATAAATATGAATATAAATAAACATAATCTTAGAAGGGTTTGGCAAATTATAAACGATTCAGTTTGTAGAAAAGTTCTACGAAATTATTTTATGAAAAAAAAAATTAATATAGATTCATGTTGTTTTATTAAGATATAGTAAATTCATTTGATAATTTCTTTTGAAAAATTGCCGTTTATACCTTCGAATCTTGAAAACCACGTATTTCCTACAATTCAAAATGATGTTTAAAATAATAGATGTTACTTTAAATGTTGTTAATCCATTACATTTCTAAGATCTATACTCCATGATAATCTGTCCCTTTTTATTATTTCTGTTTTCCTGTAGTCTAGTGGGTAATGTTTTGTGTAAAGGGTACTGTTTGTGTGTATGATTATGTATACTTGTAAATGTTTACTTCCTTTCGTCTAGCCTTTGCTTATAGGGGCATCCAAACCATTTAGTTTGTATTCTTATTTCGATTACATGCTTTGTTTATTTGATTTTGAATGGCTGAATAAAGTGAACTAAACTAAAATGAACCGTTCATGTTCTTTGTCTCATTCTTATAACATAGTTTTAAACAGAAAATGCACGCCCAAACAAATATCCATTCATGTTATAGCTTTAATATCAAATAAATAAATTCAAGAATATTCAGCGTTTTAAAACCAACAATTAGTTTAGGTTTGTGCAGTAGCGAGTGATGAATCACATCAATATTCGCCAGTTCTCTAACATAAAATACTCTTTTTTCCTCATAACAATACTTCCATCATATCTTAATAATGGTTTTCGTATGACTTTTTTTTAAATTAATAGTTTAATATCAAGAATGGAGAAGAAAATCATTCTTTTATGCATGTTGTCAAGTTGTGCTTTCGTTTGCAAAAATTTACCACAGTTGAGACAAATTTCTCATATATATATATATATACTTTTAGTGCAAATTTGGATGCTTGATATACTACTGCTCATCCTAAACCTAATTTTAGTCGTTTTTCATATTTTACCTTTGAGCAGGGTGGGCCGGTTAATACCGGGCAATAAATACTGCCTAGCAAATGTTGACAAGAGGGGAAAGACAGAAGAAATCTTGATTTAAAAAAATATACGTAGTCCCCTTTTCACGCACTCTTCCCACCCTAAAATATCGCTACACATCAACCATGCCGCACCTACATACCAAGGCCACATATATATATCCACCCACACCCCACTAACACCCAACCAGTCTGGCAAACACTGAATTTCCAACACCCCGTCATATTTTATTGAATAATGATTAGCCAGTGTTTGTTTTGCGCAACTGCTAAAGCATGTGTAAGCTACTATGCTTATCAACTAGGGCACCTACGCCCTTAAGTCATAAATGACAGCAATGAGGATTAATGCCCCACAAAAGGGCACTAATATAGCACATCGACACGGTTCTGATCCTGGGGCCTCAAGGTTACGAGGCCATTGCTTTGCCACTGAACCATGACTGTACGCAGCGGGGGCTAGGGTAGGGGCAGTTCCCATAAATATAAGAAAAAGAAAAAGAAAATGCAATACATTATCAATCATTCATTGAATTTTCCCCCGGTCCCCCACAGAAAAAAATCTTCTGTGTGCCCATGCCCTGAGCCATAATGCAAGGCCATACATCTATTAGGAATAAATCATTGTCAAAATAATTGCATAAATTGGGGTAAAAACTAATTTCCAACGTTATGAGCGACAGTGTAGCTCAAATTAATCTTCTGCCTTTGTCAGTACTGATCCTTGCTGTTGTTCCTTTTCAAGCTTCGTCCCCCCCCCCCCCCCAGACCAAAACAGCTTTTAACCACGTTTTCCTTTTCTTTCTCTTTTTATTGTGTGTCTATTTTTTAAAGGATGAAACCCTCCTACGATCCTATGTAATATTATTAAGTAGATAAAATTGATTTAAAGCAATTTCCAGTCAAACCTGTTTTCTCATAATCGCTTTAGCATTATCAACAACGTTAAACAAACCACAAAACGTTTGCAATTATGTAGTCAATGTCTGTTTAATTCAGTTCGATTAAAAGTAAATTATTATGTAAACATATACATTGAACGATCATTCGGTTCCGTATCACACTTATGTAAGAATGAATACAAGCTTTTGTCAGAAAATTCAGAGTAGCCAAATAACTATTTTTCCTGAAGGAAAAGAAAAAATATTAGGAAATTCACTAACAACATTAAAAAAAACCATCAACAAACTAGGCCTATTTTTTTCATACAGTTGATCACTGTTTTATGTATAAAACTAAGGTTAACTCGTAATCATTGGAATGTCTATGCAACTAAGGTGTACATTTTATCACTGTGATGTGTATTAAAAATATATTGTTCTAAGATGTTCAAAGATCATGACGAGATATACAAACAGTGTCAAACTATACGAAATGAAATTATTAATAGGACTTCAGATAGTACAGACAGCGCAAGTTATTTCGTAACCACCGATGTAGGGTCCACAATCCAAGCCCCCACCTATCAGACACCGGACTTCTGTCATGTACAACAGCGCACCATCCTGATCCCCCATGGTACCCGCGCTTTAGGAACCATCTCTCGGTCCACACACACAAATTCCGTTCTTTTGTTTGTGTATTTCTCTGCCATAATATAACCAGCGTACTCTAAACGCCACTCTTGAGAAGGACATACGTTGCGGGCAGGAATCATAAGTTTGCTGGTACGGCCAGGGGGCGCCCTGCAGACTGCACAGGTCGGAGTATGGTCATGCATTGGTCGCATGCGTGAAGGACCAGTATTGACTTGGTATTCAGAGGAGTATATTCGGGCTCGTTCAACATGTGGGGAGGTTTCTACTTCGTCATAGATAGGCTCGTCCGGCATACAGAGATAATTTGAGCCGCTTCCAGTATGACCGTTGTGTGCACCTCCAATAGAACCTGAATAAACCATAAAGTAATGTAAGACAAATAAAGGTAACCCACTAAAGTTCAAATTCATCAGAAATAGGTAACTCTGGAGGACGTCCACCTCCAATAGAACCTGAATAAACGACAAAGTAATGTAACACAAATGTAGGTACACCCACTAAAGTTCAAATTCATCAGGATTAGGTAACTACGGAGAACATCCAACGACTCATTTCAAACAAGGTACAAATTCAAACCTGGGTGGAGGGTGGCAAATGTGGATTAATATCTTGGCAAATGACATCAGTACGGGGCTGGGACTCAAACAGCTAACCGTGTGATCAACAGCCTGATGACATAATCTACGACACCTCTCTACAGCACATGAGGGCATCTGAATGTTGCACTTGGGCTTATCCTAATGGTTGGTAATGGGATTACATAGCTCATTTCCCAAACAAATTGCACAGGGGCGTCGTGGTCTAGTGGTACGTCACCGGCATGGAGATCACATGGTTCGCGGTTCGAGGTCCGCAGTTAAAGTGAGTTGGTAAGACATATATTTAAACTTGTCACTCTCCACCCATAAGAAGTAAATGTGAACTTGGTAAGATTTAATTCATGAAATGCTTTAACTCTTATCCTGCCACAGGGCTAATCCCTATTGTTCCAAGCCACAAATACCCCCCAGTGCCAAATTTATAACGAGATAATCGAATTAACACGATGGTACTGCCAATAGCGCGTGCAAAACACTAGGTACAGTCCAATGGGCATGAACAATAACTGCTATTACGAATGCGTGCAATCATGCAATAAGCAAAGTAACAGTAGCGTGCTCGCGTGTACAAAGTACTATAACAATAGCGTGCTATGAGTTAAGTGCTCTCTTAGGGCAGCTGGACTAAATCCAGGGTAATTATAGAACCTTGAGCATCCCATAGGATTGATAATTGCGCCATATAATCGGGGTTATTATTGCTACGTTAACATTATTGAACGCTAGTGGTCATTTTGTTATAGCATGACATTCAGTTTAATTTTTTTTTAAATCTTGCATATAATGTATAAATAAGAGTCGATATTACAATAACTCAAATAAACTTGACCTACTTTGTTTGCATTCACTTAAAACCTAACCCCTTCCAGTGGGGCTATCGAATGCATGTGATTTGTTTGTGGCGATGAAGACTTTTTTGTCGCACAACATCAGATTGATTAAAGGTTACAGTAACATTGAAACAAGTTTGCAAAGACTTTTTTGAAAAAATTGTGTGTCCCATCATGTTTGAAATCCGTTGAAGCTTTCGCACATTTTAATATGACAGACGGACAAGGCTATTGAAATTGCCTGTTATTAATTTTCAGAAAGTTCTTGCGATATTGTCAAAAACATTTCCAAATGGAATATTACCCATCTGTACCTACCGGAATAGATGAGTTCTGCGTGTTCAGGACATACGTCGTTACCCCCAGCGAATGTAGATAACACCAGGAAGACTTGTCATGTTACCTACTGGACGCACTACCGCATCGCCGCCGGATTCAGTTGGGTGAGTTTCGTCGCTGGGTATTTCTTGAGGTAAAATTTAAACATCCAGAAGTTTTATCAGAATCATAAAGATAGATCTAACTGTATTCCAGACGTTTGGCTTTTACATTCGTGGTACAAAACATGCCATTATTCGTGGCAAATTCAGTCAAGATTGTACAAACGGGATTCAGTTGTGTTTGTTTGGTCGTTACGTGAAGTGGGTGTTTCCTCAGTAAAATGTAAACAATTTTAAAATGTCATGTATCAGAATCCATAGACAGAATCGATTTGATAATGGATATTATCAAATATATTACATAACATAATTTGTATGTAATTTGCCGAGATTATGTTCTCGCCATTATCAATGACTGATTGCTGTTATTACATAAGAATGTGAAAAACACTCTAGAGAAACCTCTGACTATTTGTCTGAATAACGTATTTTTTATTTACACCCAATAGTATCTCTTCCTTGTGTATCTTGACAAAAGACCGTACAGGAGTTACAATATCCAAATTGTTTTTCAATAACTTGAATTTTTATTCCGCTAGCCATGCATTTTCCGGCTTGAATAATTGCAATGTCACAATTAAATACGAATTTTCTAAAACATCTGCATGTCGTACATATCGTGTCAGAGTGATGTCTTTAAAGGCCTACCTTGGGGACTTGTCGGTGCATCCCGTCCGTCTCTACCGTCCCTTCCGGCGACCCCCTGCGGGCCTGGAGGACCACTGTGTCCAGGAACACCAGCGGGACACAAGAAACATTGACCTAAACAAGAAACAGCAAATATATTTCATATCACGTTTAATGATCTGCGAGGCTTAACACTTCTGCCTGCATAACATAATATTTTAAGCATAATAGCCCCGTTTGAGGTTTATTCTCAACCTCGATGATAATGGCCTACGTCATACGTTCCATTGATAATTTCGTATTACTTCTAGTTGACACATAGATCTTTTAGCATATGGCTCCGAATAGTCTCCTTGGACAACGACCCCTATCGTCAGAGTCCAGCAGCCTAACATGTTAGCCTACTGACTTTTACCCAAATAAGTCGTTAAAAATTATTTTTTGTTTTGTTTAAACAAAAAGCACATCCACCCCGACGTACGTTGACACTAGCTCTTTCATTGGAACCCTCATGTCCCATTGATTTCTGAAAGTTCACCCACCGTAATTTGGTCAAAATAGGTCGCTAGCTCGCCATTGCCTATATAACACATGTGAAACAAGTCGAACGTTGCACGCAATTTGACACGCGATAGTAAGGTTCTAGGTCAAGCACACGAAGGATAACTTTCATGAATTATCATAGATCAGTTTTGATCAGTTCATTATGCACGCGATAGTAAGGTTCTAGGTCAAGCACACGAAGGATAACTTTCATGAATTATCATAGATCAGTTCCGATCGGTTCATTATGTCCATTTCTGCCAACCCCCCCCCCCCCACCGTAATTTTTCCACTTACTATAGGCAAGCATTTTGCCGAGGTAAGCAAAAACACGAATATTCATGATCGCCATGGACTATTCGATTATTTACAGAGGGGTGCAATTGTGCACTACATCAAACTCCCATACTTTAAAGGTAAAGGCCAGTATTGGAAGCGTCCAAAGTTCAAAAAATGAAACGGAAGCTCTTATTACCAATCACGTAAAATAATATGTTTTGACTAATACATGAAAACAATTTTGCCGGGAAACCACCTATCAATTGATATATTTCGTAAATTAGTTTATGTATTGGCTTGTGAGAGATAAACGCACGTGTCGCTCACATGTGCGCAGTCCCATATACATCTTTCTGTGTACAGTGCTTGTAACTTTACGAAGACTGGGCCAAATTTCTTATCATTTTGAGGATTCCAGAACCCTGCAGTACACACCTATACTCATAGGCTAGATGCTCAACCTTTTCTGATCGATTCCACAACGTTTCTTTCACAATGCACTCGCATGACCATAACTGGCCTTTATCTTTAAGTCAAGTATTTCATTGTATTATGTAGTTTGGTAGGTTTATTTTAATAACTGTTCAATTATCAGATATAAATGATAGTTTAAGGATATGGAAAATGTTCTTGTATTGTATATTTAGCAAAGAAATCTCACATACCAATTCACTACCAAGTGTCGTCTCATCCGCCGATTGCCGTCTGCTATATACGTCCAGCGAGCGAAAATGAGACAACCGGAGCAATATGGTTTCTCCTACTTTTGGACTTTGACGGATATTACATGGCCAACCAAAACGACATATAGCTTTGAAAGTTCATTTTGGCATTCATGGCTGTCTTATTTTGTATCTGTTATTCAAGTTAACGCATCTGTTAGCTTCAATGATGTGTCTCCTTCCGTTACGTAGAGTTTACTAGTTCTGCCCTGTGTAATGCAGTGGTTTGATTTGATTTGATTTTTGGAAAATGTTGAGGTCGATTCCCTGCTGGTTACATGCTGGGTTTAAAGTATTCCAGATTTAGTCTGTTCTTTGTTTTTATTCTTGTATCACAGGCATTGATCCCATATACAGCGCGCTCTCTCCACTGATCGCGTGATCCCCCATATTCCAGTCCACTACAGAATGAAAGGAATGGCTAGGTCTACTTTCAACGTTGAGGGCGTGTTAATTTTATTAGCCGATTGGACGCGCGGCACGGAAACGGTACAGAGGCTGGTCTAGCATAAAAGGCGCCTCAAGGCCTAATTTTATTCATGTTCGTGTTCGATGGGCATTATAGAAATCAAGAAACGTCTGGTCTATTTTTCTTAAGATATGTTATCAATAATACCTTACAATCTTAGAATATGTTATTATAAGAAAATGGACCTAGTGTTCATACCGGAATACAAAGGCCATGAGTATGGTCCGGATGGGTTCTGACCTAGGCTTGGCTGCTCGGTAGCAGATGATGGGAACGATGTCGGGAGAGCCGATGGCGAGTCGAGTTCCCTTCGACGTCGTGTCTTTTCAGGTTCTCCCAGCTCACTCTCGGTCTCGAGAGAGTCAGGAGTGTAGATTTTGGCCATCATTGATGGATTCTTCGCGACGAGTTCGCGAGTTGAGAAGGAACGGGTGATCTCAGCAACGGATTCCTACAAGATACAAATTTCCAAAAGAAAATTACTTATACATACCCTCGATATTATGCTCTGTGATTAAGGTGGTGTAAATAAGGTACTCTTGTAATCTGATATGGAATTATTTTTTGGTGAAACATGCCTTCATGTCCAAAGACAAGATGCCGGTAGACTATAGGCATTTTGGCTCAAAACACGTTAATCAATGGTTGACCTTTGAATCATTTGAAGATTGTAATCATTCATATCAAGATGAACTAAGATCAAGAATAAGGGGTTGTACCAAAGGTTATATATGATAACTTAATTACATTAGCAGAAGTGTTGTTTTACTAACTATTACATAATTGCCTTCTTATACGTGTAAGTAAAGGGAAGATATTCGGTAAGGCAGGATTGTGTATTTAGGTAATTCCATTACATATGGACCGATACGTCCAGCCATAAGTAAGTTCTTAAGGCCCGGTCCCACTGCACTTACGGATGCAAAGAGGATGTAAAACGTAAAAAAATATTGCCATCCGTTGGAAAACGCTATGCATCCGTTATGTACTCATCGTATACGTGTTTCATACGCTCTATCCATCGAGTATCCGTCCACTGTGATTTCATCCACGCAAAAAGTTTTGAGCTGCAAACAACTTTTAGAACGGATGAACTTCCGCCGTGTACGATGTAAATCCGCGACAAATACGAACAACAAACGTTCTATGTCCGTTATCATCCGTTAAACGTCCGCTGTATCCTCTCTGCACCCTCTGGGCATCCTGCAACTCACATCCGCTGCAGCTAAAAACGGAAAGAGGGAGGAAAGATAAGGTACATAGAACGTCTATACATCGTTAGTAGCACGGAAATAGAAAGGATGTTAGCGTATGCATCTCGTATATAAAGTATTCAAAGCTGTCATCCACTTCCATCCGCTTTCATCCGCTAGGCTTCCGATGAACATCCGTTAAACATCCCCGCTACATACTAGCGTTCTATTTTCGCAAATTTTCGCCAATTTTGTCCATTTCTGGAGCGGATGAAAACGGATGGAGCCACCCTCGAAAATTTGCTCGTCCGCTGTGTCCTTTATGCATACGTTTTGTGTCCATCGGCCTGTGGGACCGGGCCATTACAGTCTGCACTTGTGTTGAGTTCACACTAATTGTTGTTTAAGCCCCTTTCACACCGGATCTGCGTAGAGTTGCGTAGTGTTGCGTACCGACTACGCCGAAGTTAAGCTGCGAACTCATGAATAAATTGATGCTTCGGCGTAGTCCCTGCGAAGGTTATGCGTAGGCTTGCGTACGATGGTGTACAGTTACGTACCCTGTGCGTAGGCACCGCGTACCTACGGCGTAGGCAATTGGCGTAGGGTTACGTACGCTTGCGTACGGTTGCTTACTGTGTGCGAAAATGCCATGTAAAAATGCAATAGACGCTCGTAGGAGCCGCGAGTATAGCCATTGGCGCTTTATAAACATATACAAAATTTAAAAAATATGTTAAAAAGAAAAATGAACTGTGCAGTGTACAAAGAATTGTACATGTTATTACATGTGAACAGAAAATAACATTTATAAACCTGCCATAAGTTTTGATAGTAAAAAGTGGCATTTGGTACACGTTTTTGACCGTTAAATTTTCAGTTTTGTTAGTAGGTATTAGCAACTGCTGAGGTTATTTGCAGTAATGTTAATTTGTTAAAGATTTTATTTTCCAAAAAATGCAGACATTTTTGTTGATGTACTACATTTTTGTACTATGTATCATTCAAAAGGGTAATATATGAACTTTCTTTTGATGAACATTGCAAGGTCACGTGATGTGATTTGATACCTCAAAATGCCAACAAAAGAGAGCGCTTATTTTGATTTGTGAATAATTGTGGAAAGAAGTCTGATATTTGTTGACCATATCCCTTTTTTTCACTCATTTGTAAAATATCATTCCATAACAGTTTCCTGAAAGTTTGAAGACGATATCTGTTGTCATTTGTCCGTAGCGTATTTGTGTGTGACAATGTAATGATATAAATGTTAGTCATTTATTAGATTTAAAGAAATACTTCTGACATACACACTCACTCAGTCTCACTAACAGAGTGAGACAAAATTATTTCTTTGCTCATTTCAATTAAACAAATTTGTATTACAAACATACAAACAGGACCACAAACGCACACACAAGCAGTTTATGAATCTTATCTATGTTTATTATATCAACAGCCTGAGATGTCAATTATCACAAATTGAATAAACCATAACAAAACAAAACATGTCAGTCTGAAATACCTTGTAGTAGTATAAACAGAATTACAAGCAAGAATGATCAATGATCAATACCTGCCAAGTTTACATCCAGGTATATATACAAAAAAATCTTTATACCATACGTTTTTAATGCTTCGTCGGACTAGCGTAGGGAAGCGTATTGTTGCGTAGGCTTGGCGTACAGTTGCGTAGTAAAGTCTAAAGGGGCTTTCACACCGGGCCTTGCGTAGAGTTGAGTAGAGTTGCGTAGAGTTGCGTAGCGACTACGCCGATCGTACGCAACCCTACGCCGATCGTACGCAACCCTACGCAACTGTACGCGGAGGGACGCGAATGGGTACGCGAGATGAACGCAAAAAATTAAACATGTTTAATTTTGTTCGCGTACCTTCGGCGTAGACTTTACTACGCAACTGTACGCCAAGCCTACGCAACTGTACGCCAAGCCTACGCAAATGTACGCCAAGCCTACGCAACAATACGCTACCCTACGCCAGTCCGACGAAGCATTAAAAACGTATGGTATAAAGATTTTTTTTGGGACCTGGATGTAAACTTGGCAGATATTGATCATTGATCATTCTTGCTTGTTATTCTGTTTGTACTACTACAAGGTATTTCAGACTGACATGTTTTGTTTTGTTATGGTTTATTCAATTGTTGATAATTGACATCTCAGGCTGTTGATATAATAAACAGAGATAAGATTCATAAACTGATGCCTCATGCGAAAATTTTATTATGTTTTGTGGAAATCTGTATGTATTTGTGTCGGTTTGTTTGCTTGTGTGTACGTTTGTGGTCCTGTTTGTATGTTTGTAATATAATTTGTTTAATTGAAATGAGCAAAGAAATAATTTTTTCTCACTCTGTTAGTGAGACTGAGTGAGTGTGTATGTCAGAAGTATTTCTTTAATTTTAATAAATGACTAACATTTATATCATTACATTGTCACACACAAATACGCTACGGACCAAGGACAATGGATATCGTCTTCAAACTTTCAGGAAACTGTTATGGAATGATATTTTACAAATGAGTGAAAAAAAGAGATATGGTCAACAAATATAAGACTGCTGTCCACATTTATTCACAAATCAAAATAAGCTCTCTTTTGTTGGCGTTTTGAGGTATCAAATCACATCACGTGACCTTGCAATGTTCATCAAAAGAAAGTTCATATATTACCCTTTTGAATGATACATAGTACAATAATGTAGTACATCAACAAAAATGTCTGCATTTTTTGGAAAATTAAATCTTGAACAAATTAACATTACTGCAAAATAACCTCAGCAGTTGCTAATACCTACTAAAAAAACTGAAAATTTAACGGTCAAAAACGTGTACCGAATGCCACTTTTTACTATTAAAACTTATGGCAGGTTTATAAATGTTATTTTCTGCACTCACTATTTTACGCAAATTGGCGGTTCATCCCTATTTCACGCATGCAAAAGAGACCCACTGCCCCTTGGATGTCACAGTTTGTCAGAATGTTATTATTATCCTAAGATAAAGTTATCTTCACATGTATTAACATGTACAATTCTTTGTACACTGCAAGGTTCATTTATACAATAAATTGAACTGTTTTTTAACATATTTTTTTTTATTATATATGTTTATAAAGCGCCAATGGCTATACTCGCGGCTCCTACGAGCGTCTATTGCATTTTACATGGCATTTTCTCCCAAAGTAAGCAACCGTACGCAACCGTAAGCAACCCTACGCCAGGCCTACGCAACCGTTCGTAACCCTACGCCAATTGCCTACGCCGAAGGTACGCGATGCCTACGCACAGGGTACGTAACTATACGCCGATCGTACGCAAGCCTACGCATAACCTACGCAGGGACTACGCCGAAGCATCAATTTATTCATGAGTACGCAGCTTAACTTCGGCGTAGTCGGTACGCAACACTACGCAACTCTACGCAGATCCGGTGTGAAAGGGGCTTAAGCCGAAGGTACGCGAAAAAAAATAAACATGTTTAATTGTTTGCGTTCATCTCGCGTACCCATTCGCGTCCCTCCGCGTACATTTGCGTAGGGTTGCGTACGATCGGCGTAGGGTTGCGTACGATCGGCGTAGTCGCTACGCAACTCTACGCAAATCTACGCAACTCTACGCAAGGCCCGGTGTGAAAGCCCCTTTTGGTAAGCATTAAAGCCTTTCAACATATAACTCGACATTCTGGTCTGATTTCTTTAGAGCCGTGAAACGTAGACAAAAGGGTGAGAATCAGAGACTGTTAGGTGATTACGAAGCATGGGTGATTGATTGCTCGAAGGAAGATCAATCGGTCGATGCATTGCATATAAAGGGTGTAGATATACTTCCCACAGGGTTTGGAATCGATCATGAAGGGTATAAAATGTATCCACAGATGTAAATTTGAACCCATTTTTCATAAATACGGAACCAAAAGGTGTGAAATGAGGTGTGCTATTTTTACTCCTTAAAGGGAGTACAAAGAATTACTCCCTACATCGGGGAGTAAATTTACTTCCTGAGGGTTGTCACTTATGTGACAAGTAGTTACTCGCTATAGGGAGTCAATTTTCACCTACTTTTCTCTGTGTGTATCCTCGGATTACATGATCACATTTATGTTCTTTTCGTTTTTTCCCCATTTTTTCCCGACAGTTTTCAAGACAATATCATTTGTATTGATCATAGTTTCATCTACCTTTATGTCCACAAGCAATCAAGTAATTATTGCTAAATTTAAGCAGCAATTATTCTCCG